ATACATAGAAGGATACATAGAAGGATAGATAGATAAATAGATACATAGATAGACAACTAAATAGATAGATACATGGATAGATAGATGGATAAGGAGGTAAGTACATAGTCAGAGAAAAAGAAAGAAAGAGATGCGGACCAGGGGGGAATCGAATGGGGGGGGGCCAAGAACACAGAAAGTACACATTTCTGGGCCAAACATGAGCTCAATTTCGTCCATGTCGTCCACTTTTCAGACGCTTGTTGAGCCCCATGTCAGGTCATCTTGCAGGTTTGTTGTGCCATTGTTGCGCGTATGTTGCTTTTTGTTGGCTTTTGACTTGCTGGCGCCAAGTACGTCCATGGCAGCTATGTTGGGCCTACATATCTTGGAATCATCTTGCAAGGGCCTGGTCCAGGCCTGGGTGCCTGCCTGTTCTTATGCCCGCCGGGCGTAAGCGCAGGCGGGGCTTTGGCAGCGCAGGTTTGGCAGGGGAAAGGCTGTTTTTTCACCATTTTAGGCCCAAAAGCTGTTCGATGAAGGGCCTGCCTGTTCTGATGCCCGGCGGGCATAAGCGCAGGCGGGTGAAAAGGAGACATTTCATCCACAGGATTGTTTTGCCGTGGATTCCCATGAGAAAGGGAAATTTCATCCATGGAATGGAGCCAGTTTGCAATGAAATGGCCAATTTGAAATGAAATGGAGCCAGTCTGGGGTAACTGGGGGTGTAAGCCAAGTACATAGACGACAGTCCATTTGGATGACTTAGTAAACCAGAGCTATGAAACAGTATAAGTGGTATGACGTGTCCAGTGTTGCTTTCTTGCTTGGCTGTGACGAATTCAGAGCCAACAAATGCCCCACAGAATTACGACCGAGTTTGTGGGCGGAGTAGAAAAACTCGGTCGTAATTTTTTTTCCTTCTACAATGCCCGAGAAAGGATTCTAGGTGTATGTTGCAGACCATGGGGCCAGTTGACTATGGCCACTAACCAGATAACTCCTTTGTATCCATGTATGTTTGTAAATATGTCTGTCTGTCTGTATGTATGTATGTATGAATGTAATGTTATGTAATGTGATGTAATGTTATGTCACATTAAGTCGTGTAATGTTATGTTATGTTACATCATGTATGTATGTATGTATGTATGTATGTATGTATGTATGTATGTATGTATGTGCGTATGTATGTATGTATGTATGTATGTATGTATGTATGTATGTATGTATGTATGTATGTATGTATGTATGTATGTATGTATGTATGTGCGTATGTCTGTGTGTATGTATGTGCGTATGTCTGTGTGTATGTATGTATGTATGTATGTATGTATGTATGTATGTATGTATGTATGTATGTATGTATGTATGTATGTATGTGCGTATGTCTGTGTGTATGTATGTATGTATGTATGCATGCATGCATGCATGCATGTATGTATGTATGTATGTATGATAGATAGATATATAGATAGAGAGATAGATAGATAGATAAATAGATATATAGATATATATATATAGATAGATGGATAGATAGATAGATAGAGAGATAGAAGGATATAGATAGATAGATAGATAGATAAATAAACAAATAGATGGATAGATAGATAGACAGATAGAAGCATCGATCGATAAATAGATAGATCGATAGCTAAATAGATCGATCAAAAGATAGATAGATAGATAGATAGATAGATCGATCGATAGATAGATAGATAGATACATAGAAGGATAGATAGATAAATAGATACATAGATAGACAACTCAATAGATAGATACATGGATAGATAGATGGATAAGGAGGTAAGTACATAGTCAGAGAAAAAGAAAGAAAGAGATGCGGACCAGGGGGGAATCGAATGGGGGGGGGGCCCCCCCCCTAAGTCTCCGTTCGTGACTCTCGGCTCTCAATTTCCGGGAAAGGAGCACCCACCTCCCCCAGTACTAAACTAGTACTAAAGTACATAGAACTCAGGTAGCCTAGGCTACCTTTCGTGATATCCTACAAAAAAATGGGGGTGCCCAAGGGTAAGAATAGCAATCCTCATGCGGGTGCCTTAGGGGCCCCCAATTTCTAGTGGATGGCAGCCATCACAAAGACGCGCAGCTGTGCATCTTTGCTATGATGCTATCTCTGTCAGTTAACTTGATGGGTTTGGCCCGGTTTGGCACCTCAAAAAATAAAATGCACCCACAAAATAAAATGCTGGGGTCTGACCCATTTTATTTTCATTTTATTTTTATTTTTATTTTAAAACGGGCTCCTGCCCCCTCATTCTATTTAGGTACCCCAATGGGGGGTCATCAGTGGACATTGGAAAATCACTCATAGTTGGAATAGATCAGTACCCTCTGGTAATTTAACATAGCTATTGAAAATCACCATTTTTAATGGGAAAATCCACTATTAATGGTCATTTTCAATAGCTACGTTAAATTACCAGAGGGTAAAAATCGTTGGAAAATCGATGGGCAAGCAATAGAATTCGTTGGAAATCATTGGATTTTATGGAAAGTCATTGGGAAATCTGCTGGAAGAGTTGAATTCATTTGAATACTGGTGAGATCAAGGGGGTTCCCATCATCCTTCCATGGTGGTAGGCCCGAAGACCCAAAAGTGGAAATTCATGTGACCACCATTACAACCTGGCACTTGCACTTTATCTGTGTAGTATAGCTCAGGGTTTGCTTCGCGTTGCAATTTTTCGTAGAAGGGCCTTATTTTGCTTTAAATGGCCATCTGTGGGCTGTTTGTCTCTGCACATTGCATCTCTTTTTCCAGCCTTTGGAATCGTCCTTACCATCCGGGCTTTTGCATAGGTAACCTCAGAAGGGGGAGCCAATTCGTCGCTTCGGAATGCGGACGTTTGATTTGTATCATCAAGGGCAGTAAGGTCGGCAGGGTCCAATCTGGGCTGTCAGACAGGAGACCATGCAGACATATCCAACAATCGAACAAAAAGCACCCAAAGACCAGCAGCTAAGGCAGCTCTGAATGAAACCTGAGTGTCATACCTGACGTTGGGCTGGTTGCCAAAAGCTCGAAAGCTTGTTGAAACTCCTCCAGGGACAAGCTTCCATCGTTATCCTCGGGAGGCAGTAAATGCAGATGCTAGGGCTGGCGGAATTCTTTTTCGAAGCTTCAGGGATTGCACCAAGTTTCTCGTCCACCTTTTTAAATAGATGTTTATCTTTACATCTGCATTTACAAGTGTTTGCATTTACTTGCTGTACGCGTAGACTATCTATAGATAATTTATATATATATATAGTGCACATGTTGGTTGGTATCAAGATATATCGTGAGACCTTCACTTGTTTCTTCTTTTTCGATTCCTCTAACATTCATCTACAGCGGTCCATATTCCCCCATTCAAAGCACAAAAATCCCCACGGCATTTTTTGCTCCAAGGAGCAACGTCGATCTGTTGAAACACCTGGCGCACTCAACAGCATGCTAGCCACAGAACAATCCCTGCTGGGGTTAACCTCTACGGTATTATGAACAATCAAAACTGATACTGATATTGACCTTTATATCTCAGCATTACCAAACGTAAAATGTTTCGTGAAAACCAAGTGTAACTAAACATACGAGTTAATTACTATAAATTATTTGTTCCATTTGAAATTGTTCATGAAGACTCTTGGCTATATCCCAACTCTGAGTTATAAACTGTTTTATACCCTATGAAATCACCAAAGTTGGATAAATTGAATGGGTCACAATAATGAAGCGTCGCCAACTCTTGGGGTGGGCATCATGACCCAGTGTTTTCGTCGCAGTTAAAGAACCGAGCAGACAACCCGCAAAAAAGATCAGTTGGGAACCCCAAAAAGTATCGGTGGTAAATTGATGCTGTTCCATAGTTGTTCTATTTTTGTTGGCCTTGATGGTTAAAACCATGTCATTATACAACTTATATAACCAACAGTCCTCATTTCTGCTGGCCATCAACTAGAAAGATAGCGTTTTTTTATCCCCATTGTGGTTAAGCTCCCTTTGGCCGAATCCTGGTGCATTTGCTTTGAAAAAGAAACACTACTAGCCAGATACCCTCTGGTAACATAGGAAAATTGCCGTTTAGTTCAATGATTTGCTAGTGGCGGTTTGCCTCGGAATCGTAAGTGGCTAAGAACCGTAATATAACCCAGTTTCAGATACGGTATACCCCAATTAGATTAGTAGGTTATAACAGTTATAACCCACTAAATGGGTCCCGCGCCCACTTAGAACCCAGTTACCACCATTTCGGTTGCTTAAAAATCCCCATCTTTCCATGGGATTTTCCATGGAATTTTCCATGGGATTTTCATGCTAAAAACCCACCATTTTCAGCCCCTGACTTTCCGCCTTCCAGCTCTCCTCGTAATGGCTCCGTTGAAGCTTCATGGCCATGGCATTGAGCAGCAAAGTGTGCGCCATACCCTGCGCTATGGGACGTCGGACATGTGTGTGTGTGTATATGTATGTATATGTATGTATATGTATGTATATGTATGTATATGTATGTATATGTATGTATATGTATGTATATGCATGTATATGTATGTATATGTATGTATATGTAGTTATATGGATGAGAGGCATTGTATATGCATGTATATGTATTGTATAGTATGTATTATGTAGTATATGTATGTGTATGTATGTGTATGTATGTATATGTATGTATATGTATGTGTATGTATGTATATGTAGTATATGTATATGTATATGTATATGTATATGTATATGTGTATGTGTGTATGTATGTATGTATGTATGTATGTATATGTATGTATATGTATGTATATGTATGTATATGTATGTATATGTATGTATATGTATGTATATGTATGTATATGTATGTATATGTATGTATATGCATGTATATGTATGTATATGTATGTATATGTATGTATATGTATGTATAGGTATGTATATGTATGTATATGTATGTATATGTATGTATATGTATGTATATGTATGTATATGTATGTATATGTATGTATATGTATGTATATGTATGTATATG